AACATCCACTACCATGACCCCTGTTCAACACAGTACTGAAAACATTAGAAACAGCAATCTGGAAATAAGGAGAAATAAAATGGATATACACAGGGAAAGAGAAAATCAAATTATCAGTATTTGCAGGCAACATGATCATCTACACAGAAGATACAAAATATTCCAACAAAACTCCTAGAATGAATAACAAATTAAATAGCACAGTAGTTATGGCACACAAATATCAATAATTATCCTGTATACCAATAATGAACTAACTGGGAAAGAAATTAGGAGACAATACAATTCACAATGGCACAACTAAAATTTAAATACTCAGAACCTAACCAATGAAGTTAAAGACTTCTACAAAATACTACAGTACTCTAAAAAAGAAGATTGAAGGAATCATCAAAAAAGAATATCCCTTATTGTTGGGCAGGCAGAGCCAATGCAATCAAAATGATCATCCTAGCAAAACTGATATACAGATTTAACACAATCCCAGTCAAAATACCACTAGCATTCTTCATATAACTGGAGGAAACTATCCTCAAGTCATATGAAACTAACAACCCAGAATAATGAAAATAATCCTGGACAACAAGAGCAAAGTGAGAGGCATCACAATCCCAGAGTTAAAGTTATATTGTAAATCTTTAGTGATTAAAGAAAAAAGGGTGGTATTGGAACAAAATCACATATTCAAATCAATAGAACAGAATAAATAATGCAGAATCAACTCTAAGCACATTCAACTAGCTGATATTTGACAAAGAATCAAGAACATACACAATGGAGGAAAGATAACCTTTTTAGCAAATGGTGTTGGAGAAACTGGCTGAACATGTACAGATTAGATAGAATGATCTTTCTCACTGTGTACAGAGTTAAAATAAGTATGTATTGAAGTTTAAATGTCAAACCAGAAACACTTAATCCACCAGAAAAATAAAATGAGCAAAACTGTTGAAGTCTTTGGTGTAGACAAAGACTTTCTGAACAAAACCCCAGTTGTACATGAAGTACACACAACCAAGAATCAGTAAATGAGATCATATCAAACTAAAAAGCTTCTATACAGCAAGATAAATAACTATGTAGACAACCTACAAAATGGAGAAAAGATTTCCACCTACTTCTGTGACAAAGGAAAAATATCTAGAATATATAAAGACCTCAAAAATGTTTTTATTTTAAAAAATAAAACCAAGCAAAATAAAACAAAGAAGTAACACAGGATTTAAAAACAATACAAAATCAACAATAGTTACCATAATATCTCTTCTTGTCTTCAAAATAGCTGCAGATAACTTCAAACAAAAATCAAACAACACACAACAGAATAGAACCAATAAAAACAAAACAATGAATGCAATAAAGGACTTCAAAACAAGACAATAGTAAATCCAAAATGGCTACTAAAATATATCTTGCTATCTTTAAAATAGCTTTCCACGCCTTCAGATATATCAAAATCAAACAAAACAAAACAGAATAAAACCTACCCACCAAAACAATGAATATGATACAGAACTTCAAAACAAGATAATAGGAAATTAACAATGGCTACCATCTTTAGAAGAAGATTCCCCATAGATACCACTGCATACCATTATCCTCTGAATAGATGATCAGGCCACCAGCCCTAGACCTGCAAAATAAGTGAAACACAAAACGCTACTGGCATCAAATTGCATTTCAGCTCAATAGCTATCAGTGGCTTGTGTTTCTCAAGATCAGCCAGTTGCTTACAGGGGGAAGGAGTTTGACTCTTCCTATTTCCCAGCCCATGAGCCGGAAAGGGCCTGGCTCTGGCTGTGCCACCAGCAGCCCACACATGTCACTGATTAATAGGGAGGGCTTGCTTCTTGGTGGCTTCTTGTTCTCTTCCCCTGCAATCCATGAGTGATGCTGACTCTCTTCCCCTGCAATCCATGAGTGATGCTGAGAAAAGGCTGGATCTGGCTGTCTCCTCATGGCCCATACGTGGCACTGATTTGCAAGGGAGGACTTGCTTCTTGAACTCAAAAATTTTGATTCACATAGTAAAGCACTCAAAAAATGTAAAAGTAGAATAAATTAAGCATATCTCAAAAGAGCACATTCAAATGGTCAGTAAATATATGAAGAATTATTCAACACTGCTCTAGAAATGCAAATTAAAACAACATTGATATTCTGTTTTATCTCAGAAACAATGGCGACCATCCAGAAATCCAATAATAACAAATGCCGGCAAGGTTGCAAGGAAGAACCCTTCTATATTGTTGGTGAAAATGATAACTAGTGAAGTGACGATGGAAATCAATATGGAGATTCCTCATGAAACTAAAATTACAAGTTCCGTTTGATCTGGCTTTTCTCCCCTCACATACCCTCCCAAAAGAGTTAAAGACATCATATTACAGTGCTACATGTATACCCATATTTGTATCACCACTATTCATAATAACTACATTTTTGAAGCAGCCTATATGTCTATCTACAGATTAATCCACTTCTTGCTATAAATTTATTTTTGTTGATTCTTTTTTAATCCCTATAGAATAATTGTCTTTCCTTCTTTTCTTTCATAACTATGATTTTGCCAATTTTTTCACCTAGAATGTGAGTTACCTATTCAGAATCTATGTGTAGCAACAAAAATTGTATAAAATTTCCCATCCCTACTATGGTATATATGATTGCCTTTAAAATTCTTTTCAGCATTTTATAACTAAAATTTCATTTGATGCACATGGTGAATAACATTATTTATAAAGGAAACTTATGATACTGGAATATGTGTACTTATAAATTAAATAATAAGTCTAGAGGCTTAATATCTAAGAAAACCATGGGCATTTTGTGAGTGTATTTTGCTATTTTATTGAGTCAATATGAGTTGGATTATTTCGTTTAAGTGAAAAGAAAATGATTTGAGAAAGCAGGAATACAACATGAATACTATAGATAAGCAATATATTTGGAGTTTACATTCAACCATAAATAAAAAGAAATTCAAAGACAACTGCTCAGCTTCCTCAGCTATTGCTCAAGTTGGAATCTCTGTCGGCTGGATGAGTGATTTTTAAAATACTATTTGCGCAAAAGAAGCAAATAGCAATTAGGGTGAAGCAACATGTTCTGGTTTGCCCCAGCTCAATGGAAAAACTGAGGAAGAGTCGGAGAGAAAGATCTGCTCTAGATGACGAATAAACTTATAAAGAGGATTTGAGTATAAATACAGTAAATAGAACATTGGATTTGTAAACTAGTCAGCACTTAGAGGGGCTACTGGGTTCTATACTGGGTTCTCTTACCAGAATACCTATAGTCATAAAGGAAGCAATTGTTTTTGAATCTATATTACCTGATTTGTTCTATTTGTCAACATTGTTGGATGAAGGAAGACTTGGACTGATAAATAGAAAGGCTTATTCTTCTGATGCTTTAGTTGGTTTCTAGCAGCTAGAGTGGTCTGCTACCATAAATGTCCTTCCAACCGTGGCTTCCGTGTTGTAGCTCCAGTCTTACTGATTCAATACAAGGGAAATGTCAAGAATTCCTTTTTGCCTCAAAATGCCTCACACTACCATAAAAAATTGTTTTATTCAATAGATGAGCTGTGATCATGGAAAGGCTACACAAAAAATGCAGAATTTTATCTTTCAAAGCACAGAGGGCAAGAAGCCAGAATCAAGTCAGGTAAAATTAATCCACTTATTCCTGCAAAACCTGCTCTTGACATGCTTAACCAGTCCAGTGGTAGCTGAGATGAGGACAGTCACATTCCCAATTTGGAAAACTGAACCACAGACTAGAAATTCATGCTGAGTAAAAGAAGTGACTGGTTTCTTGATTTGAGACATGTGAGAGGTCATTCCAGAATTATTAGCTTAAGCAGAGATCATAACCTCATGTTGCTCTATCAGAGAACCAAGCTGGAGACCCAAGCAGTCTGATCACTCAGGAGTTTGGTTTGTAGAAGCCCAGAGTTTAATGAAGGCAACACCATTCCAGAAAAGGATTTCCATATGCATTGGGACCCAGGACTGCTCTCACCACGTGACCAGGCATACAGCCTCTGGCAGAACAAATGGGCCCATGTTGCCAAAGAGCAGGGAAAGAGGAATGGAGTCCCAGGCGCCCACCGCAGTGGCAGCATCCCTCTTTCCTTTCCACCTCAGCATACTCATACGAGGCATTCAGGGGTAACCAGCTACAGGTAAAAATTCTCTAATGAAGGGGTTAAGTAAAAGAGGGAAATGCTGGAGTATCTTAGAGGGTTCAATGTGGAGAACAAAGTTTTTAAAATCTACTTTCCACTGGTGCAAATTTACAATGTAAATATCATTCTCTTGTTCCAACTATGTAAGAAACTGCATGGGGAATATCGGTTAAGGAATTCACACACCATTGGCTATCATCTAAATATAGTCCTGAACCCCACCTTCTCTCAATGAAAAGCCCTCAGAGACATCTTGCATCGAATGGAAGGTGTAAGGGGAATAACAGCATCTCTTGCCAGTGATGACCTTATTATAGGTGCCCGAAGTAGAGCTGAGTCTCCCAAACACATGTGAAACATTTTCTCCTGCCACTAGGGTTAAAGTGGTTTCTACATGAAGTGTCTTGTTGCCAATTGGCCTAAGGATCTTTTGCTTAATTCAGAAATCATGAATTGGCAAAGCACATCTCTGCTATTAGTCCTGATGTCACCAAGAGACACCAGGTAATTCTGGCCACCAGCAGCTGACATACCCAGCAGCTGATCACTGCTACTTCCAATTGTCCCCATCTGGTGCCAATTTTTGCTGAATGTCCAGAGGTCAGCTCTTCTGAGTACTAATCTCTGCTACTGATCTTCACTGGCTGCTGGTCTCCAGGGCTCTTCATTGCTAGTGGCCCCCAGCATTTGTTGCTGTTTTTTTTTAACCAACCACTCTGTCCACAATGCTCAGGTTAAGAATCCCAAACAGATATAAAACTCTTGGAACCCACACTACCACACACTGAGAATGAAATCAAGAGCAGGCTTATAGGACCATGAAAGCAACTCTTTATTATAAGAGGGTCTATGCTGCAGTACAGGAGGATAAGTACGCTGGAAGGAGTCCTCCTAGACTAAACAGAGACGTGTGTAGGGAGTGATACTTATATAACAAGTATAGACCTGTGCTAGGTCCAACTACAGACCGGTGATCAGTGCAGTGCTCCAAGGCACCCTCAGGTGTTAGGCAGAAATCCAGTGAGCGAGGAGGGCTAAAACCAGACTCCCCTTGAAGGCTAGCTGTGGGGAAAGGAGAGTAATGACAGGCCTAAATCTCTCATTCCTGATTTGAGCCATGCGACAGTGAAGCCACCCTCCCTTCAGTACTGTCTAAAGTGGCAGGAGTTGGGAAGAGGGTGTCATCCTGATGGGTGAGCTGCACTCACAATGGAGTGGAGAGGAGCTTATAGATAGTCAGGTAGTTAGGGAAGACACCATTAGAGAGCCAGAGACGACACCAGAGCAAGCTGTCCCAGTCCATTAGGGGAGGAAGTGGGAGAAGGACACCACAGCCCCTAGTCAAGTCACACCCCTTCCATTACATGCAGGAAAAATAGAGAGCCAGGTGCCTCTCAAGTGTTTCAATCTAATGATTTGCACTGTTAGTATTCCTTCATAGGAGGAAGGTAACTGAAAGTTTAGGGTAGTAAAGGATAGGGAGGAAGCAAGATCCCTTCATAACTAACAAAGAGATGAAAATCAACCTCGAGGCTCAGAGAAAGATCAAGAAGGAAAAGAGCACACAGCTGGTAATAAAATACAGTTCCCTTTAGATAGAAGCAGAAACTCAAGCGCTCATGCTATGCCAGGGGAGGACTATATTGCCATTTTCTTTGTGCCCCCTTCAAGGAGAGCAGACCCTGCCGTAGAAAAGAATGGCTCGGGTTTTGTTGTGTTGGATGAAAAAGAGAAAAGGGCGGTTGGCGTTAAACTGCACCGAAAGTGGTGCAGACTTCTCCGCGACAACAGTGCCACTGGCCGCAGCCGCCTGGGAGCCAGCTTCATCCACCTCCACAAAGGTCTTGTGAATAGTTTTGGACAAGTGCAGAGTAGGACTTGCTGAGATTCCAGTAAGATCAGCCTTCGTTTCATCAAAGATGTCAGTCATACCCATGTTTTGTAGAACAAAATTGAGATCATAGCTGTCCTCTAGAGTGAGCTGGGGGAAGGAGATGGCTACTGTTTCTTCTGACAGGTTTTCTAAACTGCTCCAGGTCGTTATTTTTTCATAGCTTATTTTCTTTTCAAGCTACAAAAGAAAGAAAATAATAATAGGTAACTTAAAAAGCCTTCAGAAAATGCCACAATTACTTCAAATTGCCTGAGTCCCTTTCAGCTACATACAATCTTCAACGTCTTTTTCTAAACCTCAAAAAACTTCATTTTTAAGTATTCCAAGAAAATCTGTTTCCTTTCGATAAGTTAAGGGACATAAACATGAGTGCACGCATATCACTGTAGTATGATGTTTTCAGGACTTCTAGGAAAATACCCAAAAGGAGAATAGCTGGATCAAATAGGACACTCAAACCTAGTTTTTTGAGGAATATCCACACTGATTTCCGTAGTGGTTGTACCAGTCTACAGTCTCACCAACCCAAATGCCCACCAACTGTGGAACTGATAAAAAAAAAAAAAAAAGATGTATTTTTACACAGTGGAGTACTACCCAGCTATAAAGAAAGATAAACTCAAGGCTGTTACAGGTAAATGGATACCACTTGAGACCATACTCATAATAGAAATAAATTAGACTTGCATATGTAAACATCATATAATCTTTCCATTGTAAAAAAATTGAAGGAGTAAATAAGATTCAAAAAGTACAATAGATATTATGAAAGTGAGCAGAAAAGAAACTATTCAAAAGAAAAGAACTGGGATGGGGAAAAGATAAAAGAAAAAGAGAAAAGAATACATACATATGGGTGTGTATGATACATGTTTGTGTACATATATGATAGATGATCAAAAAGGATTGTGTTTGCTTTCATTAATCATTTTTTCATGCCTATATCTTGTAATCTGAACAACTACTTTAAAGATAACAATACACAAAATATTAACCATTGTTAATCTATTACATTGTTTTGAAGTTTTGTATTATTGTTTTTGTTCTCTTTTCATTTTAAAATAAGAAAATAAAAATTTCAAAAAAGAAGTTTCAGGTCAATTTGGGGTTCAGTGTGCTTTGACAGGCTCATGTTCAAAAACTAGAAAAGTTTGGTGGAGGTGACTTATGGCCAGTCCTAATACTTTGAAGTTAAATTTCATCTTTGATGGAAAAGAGATAATACAATTAGGCTCTAAAAGAATTCAAAAAAAAATACTGTGTGTCAAGTATTTAAAATAGTGCTGGCACACAGTAAATTTGGAATAATGGTTGTTGCTATTATTGCTATTACTATGCTGGTATTTCTCTCTCACTGTCTCTCAGTCTCTGTCTTTCTACCTGCTAGGATAATCAGTAACAAAGTCATCCCTGCCTTCATTAATTCCTGCCTTACTGTATCAATATCTCTACTTCTGTCAATATAGAATGTGACTAAATAGTCTTTCACCACACTATAGCAAAATAGTCTGAGAAGCAAGCTAGAAGTCAGCATCTTTAAGTAAATGGAACAGCTGTTTAAATCACAACAATTCTCAAATTACTTAACATCCATATGACTTCAACCAGAAAAATTACTACAGGGGGTCATCGACTTAAAGATAAAAATCATATGCCACTATTTTGGCATGTGTTATTTAGTCTCAAACAGATAAAGAAATATAAAATGAAATTCATAATTTTATATAGTCAGGAGTATCTCTGACAGCTGGGATATCACTTTCACCAGATGTAGATGACAGTGTTGCTCGCCACAATCTCTGATTAAACTCAGGTGCAGACATGGAAAAGCAGACTGACCTCCTGCAGGGCCTTCAGGTTGTCTTCAGAGGGAGATGGCAGCAGAACAAACATGCTGAGCTTCCCTGTGGTGTATGTCATTTCAAGGATCTGTGCCTGCAGCTCCTCGATGAAGCCAATTCTAAACAGGCCCGACTGATTCATCATCTTCACACTCTTCTGTTCATTCTGCAGTAGACAAGGTAGGAGGTGACAGGCAGCCCTGGAAAGCTTACAAACTCCTGTGGCCCTAATTTTCCTGAGAATAAGCTCACAAGGGTCTGCCCCAGAACCAGTGGTGCAGCCTAAAAGAGTCCTCTGTCCATGAAGCAACCAGCCCTTACTTAACCTTATGATTTTATCTTCTGATGTTTTCAATCAGTTATTCAACCCCTAAGACTTCTCATCGGTAGACTCTCTCTCACCTGTCTCTCATAGTGTCATCAGCCAAAGCAAGATCTGCAAACTCTCTGTCTTCAATGCCTTCTACACCCCAACCCCACTGACCTCAGCCCTGGTCACTTAGATCTGAGCTATCCCTCCACAGTACCCATGGGAACCAGATTAAATGCTAATTGTCTACACATTAATTAACATCATCTCCTCCATGGGCTCCCTGCAGGAGAAAAGACACCACTCTGGGCACCTTAAACTTCACAATAACTTTCATTAATCTACCAATGAGTACATTTGATCCTTGAGAGAAAATCTTGTCCCCAGTAACAAAGTTAACCAGCTAGCTTTGACTTGGATTCAATACCTACCCTTTCCTTTTATTCTAAGTCTAGTGGCTCTGGACTGGGTTTTGGGGGTCAAATTCTGATATGGACCTCAATTACTCTGCCATATTTGTCTTCAAATCCTAAGCAGAAATGACATCCATTTCATAATGTCATTTTTGAGGGGCAAAATGGAATGATGAAAGAGAAACAGTCAGTACAGTACCTAACACAAAAATGTTCAATGACCTTCAGGTACTGATTTTTTTTAAACATAAAATGTTCTTATTAAAATTGCAAGCTACAACTTGGAGAAATAAGCTTTAGGCATGTTTACATATTACAAATCATTGTTAGTGGAAAAGATCAGTGGGAGACCTAGCAAACCATGGGCTCTGATATAGTACCTCACTTAGAAAAAAAGGTGCATCAACTGTATTTTCACAATCAAACTGCTTTTCCCATTTAGCCTTGAAGTAAACAGCATTCACCAGCACCAGCGTGGTCGCATTACTAATGGCATCCTTGCTGAACAGTTCCTTGATTTTACCTAAAGACAAAGTGCCAGAGAAAGTATCAAAATGTTCATGCAAAAACATTTTTCAAAGCACCTTAACACCTCCAAGGTTGTAGAGTGCTTTGTTTAAAAATAAACTCAAGAAAACAGAACAACTCATAACAAACAGCCCACTTTGTAAGTGGGCTGGAAGTTAACATAAGGATGAGAGAGATAGTGTGAGAAACTCCTTCACGCACCCTAATGGAAAATCCAACTAACAGTACTATAATTCAGAGAATCTCTGATTCTTTATACCACTGTGGTTGGAGTTTGTTATCAGATGCCTAATACCCCAGTTCAGCTTTCAAATTATATACCAACCACCTAACTATAGTGTCCTGGATAAAATGACAATAGTATAAATTTTGTCTCAAGCACTTCTGACATATAAACAAAAACAGATATAATTAATGCACCATGACATTAAACCTACTTTATAAGGACTTTCATATGCTTTCTTTCATTCTGCCCCATGTAAACCATTACAAGTAGGTGTTCTTAATGGAATTGCATACCATAAGCAATGAGAGCTAGTTGCCAAACAGTCTAAAAGCAGCAAGACTGGCTAAGATCAGTTCTGGGGCTCCTTCTTTCATATACTGGCCCAGCTTTGGGGTGCTCTTAGATAGTATATAGCATTAATAATGATTCAAAAGTCCCACACCATTAGGCAATAGTCTATCTCAGGGTACGCCCTTTTCTACCTCAAAATATCAAATCACCAGTTACATGAACACAGGCTGAAGTCTTAAGAAAACAAGATCCTTTATCTCAAAAAAAATCTGTACTTAATCCCATAATAATATACTGTGTTGAAAACCATGTATACTTAAAATACTTTGGGAGAGATAGTGCACAAAGGAGACACTAGATAATTATCCGTCAGTCAGGATTTCTTCAGTGAACTACTTTCCTCTTGACCATTGATGGGAACCTCAAAGGAATGGAAATTTTGTGGCATGTGGATAAAGAAAGAACAAATAGGTTAGGAATATAAATACTTTCCCTAAGGAAAGATGAGGAGTAAATTGACACTAAGTTAGAGTGAGATGGGTAAGAGACGAGAAGGAGAAAAGCTCTAAGAAAAGAGAATTTTATAAGATACAGAAGACAAATGAAAATAGATAAACTATAGTTTCCAGCCTGTAGGTTCCAACAAACGCCTAGGTCTTACCCTTATTCTGCAAACAATGCACTACCTTTCTCTCAGGAACCCCACACTTTTAGATGCACATAAACATTTTTGGACACTCTGGCAATCAAAAAATGGGTCCAACAGCTTAACTTGGACCTTGGGCTGCTAACTCTGAGACCTGGGGTAAACATTTATCTGGTTAACCTATGTATGTCCTGGTGGAAAGTAATATTCTCTACATCAATATGAAGCAATGAGGGAACTCATATCTCCTTCTTTTCTTAGGACTTCCAACAAGACCACAGACCATTTCCTCCATGAACCATGGACTGCAAGTGGTTTGACATGGGGACAGTAAAAGGTAAGTCTTGGGGGAAACGGGGCAGATGGGTAAGGCCACTATGAACAAACAAAATATAGAGAGACTAGGGATATAGCTGAGTGGCACAGCAGGTACCTGGCAAACAAACACAAGGTTGTGAGTTTGATTCTCAGTACAAAAAATAAAATAAAAGTAAGAAATAAATACTTAGAGAGGTTGAGTTCTCTCATTGGATGGCTATCTGAGTTTAGAAGCAAATTCAAGGTGAAAAGATTAATCTATTTTTTTTGAACGGGGAATCGAACTCACGACTTTGCACTTGCAAGGCAGGAACTTATGCTGCTGAGCTAAATCCCCAACCGATTAATCTATTTTTTTAAAGTTCTTTTTTTTTTTTAATTTTTTGAGACCAAGTTTTGCTCTGTAATACAAGCTGATGTTGAACTCATTAGCCCAGTTTGTAGCACAGATTCCTGGCTTTCCCACTCAAGTTCTGGGATTACAGGTGTGCACTACCATATCCAAAAGTATTTTTAATTGATGTCTAAAAATTATACATTTATATCATATACAACATGATATTATGAAATGTATACACTGTAGGATAACTAAATGAAATTAATTCACATAAGCACTATGAGAATGCTAATATTTAAATAGCAATAATTATAATAAATAATTCAAACTATAGGCTATAAACCATGTTTTATCATTCCAAGAAATTGATTTTAAAAAGTAAAATGTAGGTCATAAATAGAACAGCTTTTAGAAAATCTTTACTTTGTTGAAAATGTTCATTAAAATATTTGACACATTATAATGAGGCATAAATGCACAACACAAAGAGAATTTATTTGGGCATATAAACTCTGCTTTGCATTTTAAAGAAATAAGCTGTTCAGATCAGAGCGTTATGAGTCATTCTTGATGATTCTAACTCTCATTAAATAACATATCACCCATCCAAGTGATTGATAAAAATTTTTCTAGAAGAATCTAGAAGAATCTCTCCAACTCCTCCTCTTCATACCCTCCCCTACCACCAGCTTCCCCAGCCAGCAGTTCTTCAGTCCTGTTCTTCCACCATGGTGCCCTGACTCCATCTGCATCTACAGCCACTTCTGTGTATCTCAAATCTGTTCTCCACTCCACACTCAGACTCATCTTGTAAAAACAAAACTTCCCTTTGTTCTTAATTCGTCATATAAAATAACACTGAAAATTTTAACGCATGAGTAGATCCTTACTAAGGAAATGTAAATTTAGATACTAATTGACCCACACATGCCATCCAAAAGCAGCTCTGTGTTAAAAGCATTAGCAACCTTCAAATCAAAAATGAGAGTTTATAGGAGGAAAACTTCAGACCATGAGACCATGGGTTTCATCTGCTAAACATTACCATTTCAGAGAGTCATGGAATTGTACGGAAGGAAGAAACCTCCCGCTGTCATTTTACACAGTTACTGAGAATCAGGGTGCTCATCGGCCTCAAGGCCATTTCACTAATTTATCTGAATACAGGCTCATCTACTTAAATTGTGTTTCATTTTAATGTAAACATATTTTTGTTAATTTTATTGGTATATTTTAGATATACATAATGGTCAATTCATCATAAAGGATTTGTACCTGTTAGTAATATATTTCTTTTGTTTCTTTTTCCCCCAATTCCTAACCCTTCCTTCAACCCCTTTTCCTCTCTTTATTAACACTTTGTTTTCATTTTTTCCTTCTATTTTCTTTCTTTTACTATTCCCTTCCTTGATTTTCTCCTTCCCATTCCCCTTAACCCCTTCTCATTTGAACATTTTCTATTTTCCAATATCTACTATACATTTTAATCCTTAATTTCCCTTTCAGTTTCTTTCACAAGAGAAATAATGTAATATTTAAACCCATGTGCACAATTTATTTCACTTAGGTGTACGTTCTCAATGTGCATCATTTACCTAGCGTTACCTAATGTTTATCTTTATTTATGGCAGACTAGTATTCCATCGAATGAAAAACAGTCCACATCTTTTCTCCATTCATCTGCTGATGGGCATTTGGGTTATTTTCAAATTTGTTATTAAATTATGCTTCTATAAACATGGGTACACATATTTTTGCTGTGGTATTGTGCTTTTAATTCTTTCAGGAAGATACCAAGTAGAAATCTGTGCGGAGATTTCTCAAAAAACTACAACTACAGGGTCCATTTGACTAAGTTGTTACAAACATCTTAAGAATAAAGAACTTACTCTGCCAAGTTAAATACAAGCAAGATATAGGTATGTCATGAAGAACAATATTATTCTAAAGCAGCATAATTTGTACGCCTTTGTAATAGCCATAAAGCTGAATTACATGAAAAATAGATTATCAGGAAGATAGTTAGAGGGCTGGGGGCAGCTGAAGATGAGTGCCCAGTGGTGGATTCTTCCTGCTCAGGGCAGCCAGGAGGGAATGTTTTATGAACAAGGTTTCAGGTAAGCAAGTTGGGGCCAAGTGATATTTAAATATGACTTAGAAGAAATGACCATGTTAAGAACCCCACATTCTTATAGACTGATCTCACTTCCATCTAGAGGATTCCACTCTGCTAGAGTTGAGCAGGAATTAAAATATTATAGAATTATTCTATATGTTGAACTTACATGTTCTTTCTCAGGAAATGCCCATGCATGGAGTGAAATATTGTTAAGAATGAAGATTTTACTATTTCCATGTTTTTCTAAATAACTGGAATTATTTGAAATCTTAATTTTTAATAGCCCTTTAAAATTAATGACAATGTTAGCAGCATGTTGCCTGCACTATGCTTGACTGAAAAGCATTTTACCTTTCTTTATGTAGGGAAAAAAAGCAATAATAAGAAACCGAATAGCTAACCATTTTAAGTATTTGATGGTATTCAAGAACTTTGGAAACTTTCCATACATGTGAATATCTGGCCTCAAAAGGTTAGCCGTCTGAACAGCTGGGGGATGACTGACTTTTTAAAATGGAAAGAAATAACAGCTACAATGTGTTTGGTCTTTCTTACCTTGGCATTGACATTCAACCCAGAAGTTAATCATCTGTCTAGACTTTTCGGTGTTTTTCTGGAAATCAACACTTTCAACCGTCGTATGGTAGAACTGAAGGACACCATCTAAGTAACTCTGTTCAGTTGGCATAAATGGAAAATAGTACAACAAAAAGTCATATGAAGATGGTGACAGTTAAGAAGTGAGGCAGTCACGAGATGCCTAGTGAGAAGAGGTGACTCGTCACCTAGCATTGCAGAAACAGAACTGTCATCTGCTATTTATCTCAGTCTTAATTAGCCAGAAATCATTCTGCTGCTGTAGTGACAACAGGACATGGCTGTTCATTTAGCAGTAGTCGATGGTTACAGTGGCATAGCCCTCCCTACCAGTACTCTCATTATTTGAACAATCCACTCCTAGAGACATCACAAGATAAGTGTCAAGTAACTTGAAGGACTGAGCTCTAACAGTCACCTATTTTGAGAATTAGGCCCCTGCTTAATACTTTCAGAGCTGCTGTCTATGGCGATGAAAGATTTCATAAGTAGACTGTGTGACTGTTGCACAATAATGTGCATATAATTAATACCACTGAACTGTATATTTGAAATGCTAACATTTTTGTGTTATGTGAATTTTAGCATTTTTTAAATTATGTAATATATGAAACCATTGATTTGTATATTTTAGTGAATACAAGTCAATTTGTATGCAATTTGTATTATATTATATAAGCACTTATATCTCAAAAAAATTTTCTTTTTTTATTTTTTAATTTTACTTAAAGAGGAAAAAAGCAAAGCACAAAAAGGGTAAAAATAATACAGAATTTCAAAAAACACTAAGAAATCACTAGCTGATAAATTACATATTGTCATTTTAGAAATAGTTGTTCAAGTCACAAAATTAAAGCATAAAAAGTGGACATTCAAATGAGAGTGCAAACTGTTCTGTACAACGATCCAACAAAACTTAGTAATATGGTTATCTATCTTACACACTTAAACATACATGCAGTTATATCCTTTAAAGCACTTTCTTTCCCTTTTCAAAAATATTTTCTTAAAAGCTTCATTCCTATTGCAAGAGAATACACTTACTTTAATCAAAGTTAGCTGTGTCCCTCCTCTGACCAGCCCAGCTCTATCAGATGTGGTACATATTTGACACTAGTCTCATCCTTTGTGTTTAGAGCTTGATAGGTGGTTCCTTCTGGAGACCAAGCTGAGGCACACCTTACCCCAGATGAAAACTCTTGGCCTCAGAGATAAGATCTGTGGCATCTGACACTCATGCAGTCTCCTACCACACCACTCCCTTTCTGAAAGGAGCACGGTTCTCCTGGGGGCTGCCTGATTGTGTTAATATTAAAGGTGGTGAGTAGAGAAGTGCCTTGACAGCAGCCCACGGGCAGAGGAGCTACAAACTGCATCTAGCAGGCACCTTGACTGGGAAAGAAGTCAGGAGAATGCAATTACCAAACCTGATCATGTTCCAGAGGCAGCTACTCATGAGACCTATTGTTCACCTGCTCTGTTCCACTTACAGTGAATCCCATAAACTCATGCTGAAAACCAAGTGGAAGGAAACACTGGTAGAGGACCAAAGGATGCATGTCACAGACACCTCACCAGTCCATAGCACTCCATCTTGTCAAAGATGTGTGCTAGGTGGCAAGTGATAATCCAGCTACTCCTGTTTAAGAGGTGGGCTCTGTTGTACCTTCAGTCACCAGCCATGCACAACTCACCTGACAAATTGGGAATTCCTGCTCACTGTAAAGCCGGTTGGCCATACTCAGGGTGTAGTAATCTTTGATCCCATCTAATCTGGATAGAAGCTTCCCGAAGTAACAGCTAAGCAGCTCACTCTCATCACTTGAGGATTCAGGCTGATCAAAGAACAAGATATGACCTTAACTCTGACAATCAAAAGAGTTAATTATCACTAAATGATGAGTAATTTTACAAAAACAGGTAGAGCTGCTTAGTGAGATGTCAGATCTCTGTGTTGGCTGGCATGAAGAGAGGAATAGAGGATGATAAGTGGTCCTGTTGGCTGATAATAGTTTCCACAGCAGCATCAAGATCATCCAAGAAAAACACATCAGGGACTCAGCAATGCACGTGCTGTCTTAAAGCAAATCATTTCTCCACACTCTACTCAAAACTAAGATCGGGGCAGCCTGGAGAATATCTTTCCTGCCCATTGTCCCACTCTAAAGGTTGTATGATTAGATTAGAACAGCTTTCAGCACAAATTAGAACCACAGAAATGGAGGGAGTCAGAATTCTTCAGTGACCAAGTGCCTTACTGCCTGCATCTCTAAGTGGGCTCCACTCCAGGGACCTGGGGCCTGCAGGATCAAGGCAGTAATGAGGTACAATCCAAGTTTATCACGAGTTAGAGACCAGGGCAGTCAAGGGAAAAACCCACAGCTAAGGACAGATAAAAAGTATAATTAGGAAAGAATCATAGGTCATATAAGATTATTCCTATTCACAGCTACCAAGACCTAATGTTTTGGGATGTACAAATACAGTGCAAACCGATGAGCAGATTTTAAAGATGGGCAAGAGTTTAGGGCTATGGCTCACCTGGACATCCGAAGATCCTGTTGCTTTTTTCGGCCCTTCTGGAGAGTTATCAAGAGGCACTTGTTTATTACTTTTTAGACAAGGGTCAGGTTCTTTGCTTTCATTTTGGGAAAATTCACTGAAGTGTAGCACCTGTATAACAATGGGGCAGTGTTTCAGATAATGTGACCAAGGGGAAGTCTGAATAGCTTCAAAAATATTTCTGCGATGTGATTAAGACCATGATCACATAATCAATGTGATCAATTTTAAAGAAATGGATGCTTGCTTCTTTAGATTATGGAGTAAAATAGGAAGTACCAGAATGCTATTCCTCTCACAGGATCTGCACTTAAAAATGAATATAAACTGGGTGTGATGGAGCATGCCTGTAATCCTAGCACTCCAGGAATCTGAGGAAGAAGGGTCACAAGATAGTGCAAAAGCCCTGGATTCAACTGTAGGTACACAAAAGACCAGGTGAAAGAAAGACAGAAAGATAGAAGTGAGGGAAGGAAGAAGGGGAAAGAGGGAGGGAAACAGTGTACCAAATGGAAAGAAAATAAACGTATTCACAAGCTACAGGTAGCTGCTGAGCACTTTACAAATGACCTGTCCAAACTGATTGGAAGTCAAGTGTCAAAGCCACACTAAAGATAGTATGAAAAAAATAGATTCATTAACATTTTATATTAACTACATTTTATTACATTTTTTATCTTGACTGCATGTTGACAAAACATTTCCAAGTATTTGGGTAAAAATGTATTGCAAACCATTCTTGTTTGTTTCTTATCTTTTTTAATGCAAGTACCAAAAAAAGACTTTATTATATATACGATTCAAATTATATTTGTGAGGGATAGAACTGTTCTAGAATTTCCAAACAATCAAGGGGTAAAAGTGCCAAAAGAAAAGTGGCCCAGAGCCTGGCTTGAGGCACATCTGGCCCCAGTTATGGGCAAGGGATCCCGAGTGCCAGGAGAAAAAAAAACATCAGCTAGATTTAAAAATGCAAATTGCATTGTGCAGCTATGTTTTGCAAATGAATCAACAAAATAATACATCAAGTCTAAGTAGATAAAGCAGGATGACCCCAAACACATTCTGTCTTGGTCCATAGGTTTTACTTCTCCATATTCTTAGATAGTAGCCTTAAACCTAAGCCTTGTGCTGTGTGATAGATTCAAGAATATATAAGGCCAACCTCAAGAGCTTTTAATTTACTTAAGGAGTTGTTCTTGTCACCTTCATTAATTCATTTTACATTATTTATTGGGTATCTACAGTACAGCTGTAGATGCTGGGGCAAAGATTCCTGTCCACTAGATTAGACTCTAGTAGATGAGGCATACAAGCAGCAACACATAGTAATTAATCACGTCTTGCAGTGTGTTAAATGATGGGGGAATATAACTAGGATCTTTCATGAGATTGGGAGTATGGACTTGGCATTAAATTGAGAAGTGAGAGGAGTCCTCTTAGAGGAGGTAAACACTTATCAATGCCTTGAAGGAGAAAAAAACTAAGATATAAGTTGTCCAAGGAAAGAGTCACAAGGCCAAGGAAACTGGAACAGAGACTTCAGGGCAGGAATGGGTGACTTGCCCAAGGAAGCCCAGAGACCAGTGTGGCAGGCAAGGAAAGAAGCAGAAAAGACAGGTGATAGAGTCACAGCGTTGGTCTGAGATTCAGAACCTCTGAGCCAGTGGGCCATTCTAAGGATGCAGGCTTCTATTATGAACCAAACGAGTAGTCTGGGTTTTTAAGCAACTATGCAACAGGATCAGCTTTGGATTTTAAAACACCTCAGGTTGCCAGGTAGAGAAAAGATGGTCAGTAGGGAAGGAGGCTGAAAGGAGCCATTTGGGAGAGATGATGTGGTTCAGACCCTAGGAAGATGGGGAGAAGGACATGGGCCTTGAGTATGTTTGTAAAGAAAAATAGTACTTTCTGAGAGATGTGACTTGGAACGAAAGAGAGAGATTGGAAGGAGAATGCCAAGAACTCTAGCTACTGGATAAATATCTAATGCTCAGTAACAAAATACATGGAAAGAAAACACATAATTATTAAAAACTACTATCAATATTTGCAACAATAATGAGAAAAAAGGGCCAAGGAGTTAGCTCAGTGGTGTAAGTGCCTGCTTGGCAAATGCAAGGTTGTGAGTTTCATTCCTGAAGAAGAAGAAGAAGAAGAAGAAGAAGAAGAAGAAGAAGAAGAAGAAGAAGAAAGTAGAAGAAGAAGAAGAAGAAGAAGAAGAAGAAGAAGAAGAAGAAGAAGAAGAAGAAGAAGAAGAAGAAGAAGAAGAAGAAGAAGAAGCAGAAGAAGAAGAAGAAGAAGAAGAAGAAGAAGAAGAAGAAGAAGAAGAAGAAGAAGAAGAAGAAGAAGAAGAAGAAGAAGAAAGTGACAGACTTGCAGACAGTGATGGAGACAAAGAAAAAGATTGAGGAAAGCTGAAAAATGTTCATAAGGAGTGGGAAATTTGAGTGAAACTTGAAGAATGACAGGACTGCAGAGAAAGCCAGCAAACCCAGGGTACAGAAAGCAGTGCAATTGACTTCAGCAGGATTAGCATCAGACTGAGCACACAGGGCTCTGCCCTCAGGAACACCTGTATGACTACGTACCTCATCGATCTGTTGTGCAGTGTTATTTCTAGCCCCCAGGCGAAGCATGCCAAAGGCCGCTGAGAGGCTCAGTGGACAGAAAAAAATATTCTTACCATAGTCATCTTTGCTTATCTCTTGGAAAAAATCAAAGCAAAATTTGTTGTTTCCTACAACAAGAGACTCCATTGTAAAACTCAGATGTCTAAAACCAAAAGAGAGACAGAAAACAGTGATTGGGAAAAAAATAGGCAAATAAACAATTCTTAATTTTAATAGCCACAGTACAATCATACACAATTATTAACTATGTTATTAAAAATTGGAAGAATAATATCATCAGGTATAAAACATTGGTGTTAATATTGGTATTGATACAAATGGGGATCTATTTTTGTTTAGTGGTATGAATTAGTTTCTTAGAGCTGCCACACAAATTACCACAAAACAAGTGGCTTAAAAATAAGAGTTCATGGCCACCATTCCGCAGACAGCAAAATCAAGGTGTCAGTAGAGCTGATGCATTCTAGAGACTCTCAGAAAAAAATCTTTTCTGTGCATCTGTCCCCATTTTGAATGGTTGCCAACTATCTTCAGCATTTCGTGGTTTATAGACAGCTCTGCACCCCATCTTCACAAGCCCTGCTCCCTCTATCTCCTGTATGGTGTATGTATCCAAATTTCTCCCTCTTTATAAACATGTCATTGAACCAGATGGATTTTATGAGCATCTTCCCTAAACCGAAATGATCTCATTTAACTTTGTCTGTGATGACCTTATTCACATTTGCAGAGGTCAAGGCTTAAACAGATCTTCTGGGGAGAAAACAGCTCTGCTCACTTCACGGTGGGACTACTTTTATTCAAGTAGAATAGTTACAGGCTACCATTCCCATAATCAGCTTAACAGCCAAGAAAATACGTTCTCTCTTCCTTCTCCTCCTCCACAGATTATACCTAATCCAAAATCTATTTTTCTCCTCCTAGATGTTCTGTGAGTACAGATATGCCCAACAAATTGTCATGTATCATATGACAGCACAACCTACAGAGTTTGGGGCACTTTAGTTGGTCATTAATGTTTTTCAAGACTTAATAGATCTTGAAAGATATTGGAACAATAGGGGTCTTTGGATGATCTTTGACAGTATAGAACCACAGGTAATGCAGAACCAAACTAAGTGACTTCCCTAAAAACAAATTCCTTGTTCCCACCTCCAATTTACTCTAGAAGCCCCAAGAAAATCTTAAGCAGAGCTCACTGTGCCCCTGGGGTGAAATCTCTTTTTTGGTCTCTTTTATCATAAATATTTTGTATATCCAAGATGAAAATGTAAGTCCCCTTATTTGCATTTTTATTATCAGTTATATGCCACATAGTAAGCATGAAATAATAGTCGTATCAAATTGAATGGTGTGTTGGCTTTAATATTTTTTTTTTAGTTTAGTATAAATTCTGTAGCCTACTAACACTAATTCACAAAATTAAAAAACTTTTCTTAGAAAATTAGGCCTGAACCACACTAAATATTTTACATAAAATAGGTTTGATCCTACAATTCTGCAAGGTAGATGTTACTGCTTCCCTTTCACAGAGACCAAACTGAATAATGGAATCGCACATCTACTTGCCAAATATTTTAATACTGTATCAACTATTTCTACTACCATGTACAGTATATCCCTTTTTAAGAAACAATCTATTTTTATCCTTGCAATTTTTCTGCCAAATTTATGCCTGATTTGTGTTTTTATTTTGTGCCTGTCAAACTAAATTTTAGGTATAAAACTCCTTTTAAAACCAATTTAAAGCTTTAGTTGCATAGCTGAAGTTGGTATTTGATCAAAATCTGCAGCATCCAAGCAGGAGAAGGCAAGGACTTTGTGGTTATTTGCTCACTACTAGAGACAGACAGTATGGGAGGAAAATCGGGGTTTGGATGGAAAGATGAACAACGCCAACCAGGTCCTTTAAGCATTCCAGGTTAACTTCAGCCATGCTCTTTTCTGTAAATGCATGTCCGACCACAGAGTGGAAGAGTGTATCTTTCTGCATAAACATGTGCAGAATTGAACAATCAAAAGAATCTCACCTGCTTTACGAAGGACGTGGCCACTCATGCAGGCCCACTCCCTTTTCAACATTAAAAAAAAATACCAACAACAATAAAAGTCTGAGGCCTGACAAAGCAACTTTTACACAATCACACATCTGAGCAAGAAAGAAACAGGACTCTCTCCACGCCCATGTCTGCTTGCTCATGGAAATCCTACTTTTTGCACTCATTTCTAACTCTGGCTAAATCTTACACCAACCTAATGATTCAACAAACAACATATCACCATTAAATATAAAATTCATATCACCATTAAATATAAAAGGATGAACTGAATGACACGCAACTTCTGCCTTTGAAAAATCCATGACCTAACAAAATAGATAAAGGTTTAAAGCTGGCAGAACTAATCTCCAGTTTTAGAAGTCAGGAAGAGGTTCTAGCCATAGAAATGTAGGGAAGCAGAACCCCAGACATATCCTAATGAATCCACATCATAACACACCCTCTCTTCGAAAACACTTATCCAGTCTCGCTTGATACTTTCCAAAGCAATTCTCCCTCACATGTGTCTTTACTGGTGCTGCCATGGCTGCTTCAATGCTCCAAAAGAATGTAAAACATTTACCTTTTATAGTCACTTTGACTTTGGGGAAGAACCAGAGATTGCATGGTGCCAGAGCCAGTGACTAAAATAAGTGAGGATGACACTTGCTCGCAAGATTCATGAAAAATGACATCTAGATCTGCTACATAGATCTGCATACCTCAGTCATCATTACTTTCAAACAGATTTGAAACTATCCTTTAAAATAGTAAGATCTCCCAAATACAGATAGCTCAAGGAAATAGGAGTAACTTCACTCACAACTACCTAAGCATAATAGTTATGCTGTACCCAGCATTTGATGAATATTGTCTCTGAATCTCAAAAAGTCCTGTAAATTGGGATTTTCCACACAGCCACTAAGACACAAAGCGGATGAGAAAATCAGTCAATTCAGTATGATTTCAAAACAACTCTCTTTCCTCTTACATTATGCTGCCCTCTGACTAGAGGACTCCGTGCCTGAAAACCCATGCCCTGAGTGACCCGTCAGCCAGCTCTGATCCACGACTGTCACCCCAACAGGTACATGTCTAGTCCTCCTACCAAGGCTACAGGTTGTATGAAATCTATACAGATGTATCATAGTTAAGGGTTGAGATTTCAAGACTGCAATCTTGATATTGGGTCTGTGTTGCATAATTCCATTCTTACTGTCTCCAATATCACCTCCTACTAACCATAGCTATTTATTTAGGGAGATGACAATGGTAGTTTTTATTCAGGAAAAAAAGGTAACAGCTTAATCTTATGGCTAAACAAATATTATACTTTTGTCTATGACAGTTTTCAGGTAAGTGATTGACTAACCTCTAATGGATTACAAGAAGTTGGATTTTCAAATTTTGATTTATTGCACAGAGGGGAGAATAACAGTGAGGTGTTTGCTCTCACAGTATAGGTAAGTTGTTTGCCTTATTTTTCCATGTGTTTCAGACTTGCAGTTGTGGTATGGATGTGTATATCATGTTCACTTATCTGCATCATAGGTGTTTGTCCTCACTGGTATTGTCTTTGTATTTGATTTTGGGTTTTTTTGTTTTTGTTTTTGCTGTCTTTGCAATTAGATTTGTATATCCAAAATTTACAAACCAGTATGTTATGGTGGGAATTTTGTAAGCTTCACATTTTTGCTATTAGGAATAATTCTAGAATGGATGCCTTCATAAACAGATATTATCTTATTTTACATTATTTCACTAGGATATCTTTTTCCATGGGCTAGACCTATTCTAGGGCAAATAGTATAAAATTTTTTAACTTTCATACTATCAAACCAAGGATATAGATGAAACAGCACATTGTAATTTAACTGTCTTCAGACAAGGCCATTGTCATTCTTAATAATTTAATTATTTTAAATAATGATTTAAGTAAAAGAATATTCTGTTGATACTTCCTAAGTCTTGGACATTTGGCCATGTATTCTTTTCCATTTTTAGATTCTTTCCATTGATTGTCTCTTTGTACCCACATATCCGTTATCTCATCAAAATTTATTGACTTACTATTATAAATTTTTCATTCTTCATACACATTAGATGTTTTTCACAATTGCCTAAAAATATTTCCCTGACTGCTATAACCTTCATTTTATTTTCTGTTGTTAAAGAATTATATTGCTCTTATTCAACTAAAATTGTAAATATTTCGATGCTATCTTCTATCTTCACAACTTTGAAAGCCACATGAGCTTTGTTATTGTTTCTGTTTTTGTGGTACTGAGAACTGAACCCAAAGGTGCTGTGCTTTGGGAGATATCCTCAGCCCCTTTTTTATCATTTTTACTTTGAGGCAGGGTCTCGCACTAAGCAACCCAGACTGGACTCAAATTTGTGGTTCTCCTACCTCAACCTTGAGAGCAGTTGTGCCTAGAGGTCTGTACTTCTACTGCGCCTGACAAATATTGTTAGTTTGGGAAGTAAGTTCCTGCTATCAGTTATTCTTAACATTTTCAATGTGTATTTCATCAGTTTGCTATTGCTTGTTTGCTATTTTGCATTGCTAGAGATTGAATCTGAACTGGGCTTTGCTCCTGCTGGGCAAGCACTCTCCCAGTGAGCCACACCCCGGCGCTTTTTGACAGCTTTTCAGATTCTAACGCACAATCTGTTTTGCTTGTTTTCTTTCTGTCTGACTTTATTACTCTTGTGACACTGTCTTTGACCTCCTCTGCCTTCTCACCCAAAGCATTAACCACTATACTGTATGTATAACATTTTGCTGTTATGTTTCCCGTATGACACTGTAAGGTATTTGGTTTTCATATTTCTGTCTTTACTTCCAAAATAAATTTTTTGAGAGTAGGTTCAGTATCTTTTCATTTTTGTACCCATTAACCATAAAACACCATGGAAGCGTTCAGTAATTACTTAGGGATTTACTTGCTGTCATTTGCCCCCGTTTTCGTTGTAGATAATTAATGTCTGAAATATTGGATGATATTGTTCAGACATTGTATATTCTGCAGGTAGCTGTCATCAAGAGACGTTACATAGTAGAATTAGTATTTAATTATTTACTTTGTTAGAAATAGTTCACTTGCTTAAATGTGGTCCTTCCTAGCAAAATTAAAGGTTTAGACTAGATAGATGTTCTCATGGCCCAAAATATTCTGAATGAAATATTCTCTTTCTCTTTTTTATACAAAAGAAAGAAAGAACTATACTACAAAAGAATATTCTAGGTCTTAATAATTTCTATAATTTCCACAAAGCTACTTACAACCTAAGAATTAGATTCCAACTTTACAGGTAGAAAATACTTACTTGGAAAAAATGTTTAAGACAAATCATAACAAAGTAAACAGTAGACACTAGCTACAGAACAAAGAAATGCTTGCAAAAGATGCAAAAAAAAGTGTTTTCTAATTTATGGCACAAAAGAGGCATCTAAATGCACTCCATTCAAGGCATAGACATCCTAAATCATTTGTCATTTTATGTTTCAGAAATAACTCACCCAAAGATAAAATACAATCTCAAATATATGACAGTAAACAAAAAATTCAGCATTCAACTCTCGTAGAAAATCAGTCAGATGCATCAAACATCTGACCAGGTGTTTTAGGGGTAAGGGAGATGACAGACACCACATACATCTTCTAGTGAGTATTTTCACATCTGTAGAAAACCTACAGCATCAGAAAACAAACCATTCTCTTTTTAAAGGAATTTGACTTAATAGAAATAACATATCCTTACGTTTCAACCATATCTCCTGTGGGGTCCTATAAGTTAAAAGAATCCTTCAATACAGTGTTTATCATTTAAAAATATACCAGGCAATGCAAGCATTTACCTTCTTGCCTTCAGAGGTGCTGCTGACTGCTGGCCAGGAAAATTTCAATCCACACCCTGTCAGGAATGGAAATATAATCAACCGTGCCCCTCCCACTGTGGCACTTTTCCAAGTGCCTTTTTGGAATCTAGGAGAAAATGGTCACCGATTTATTAAATGGAAAAGAAAAGTATGGCAAGTACTTTTAAAAACAAATTTGCATGCTTCATCTTTTCAACTGAATTATATATTTTGCTTTGTATGTTTATATGTTTGATGCTTTTACCAATTGTGTCTTTTTTATAGAACACTCAATATAATAATTAACTCATGTATTTCCCCCCAAGTTCCTATTCTGCATAAAAGAAAACCAGAAATCTGTTTCACTTCACATACTTATTTCCATGGACAGTCTCTGATATTAGAACTGTTATTCTAAACATAATTTTAACACATCATGCAGGACTTTAAAACATGTTTTAAGTTCCTTTCAAAGTTATTTTCTTTCTTTTTCCTTGCAGCAGTGCTTGAGTTGGGGATGGAATTATCTGATTTTTAACAAGAATAACTAAATACCAGTCACAGTACAGAAATTATCAAAGTATGCTGATGGAGAGAAAGGAACTTTCTAGAACAGAATAAATTTAGTAGGAGCCAAAGAACTGATGATCTGTGAGCCACTATCTCTAGGGTACCGATTCAGCCTCCTGCGCTCCTGCCTGCTTACCTATTTATTTTCAAAGGTTTTTAGGAACCGAGATGTCCCTATGTTTTCTTGTGAGACTCTGAAAAAGCTTTCATGGCATGTAGACCAAAAAGCACGCAAATGTTTTAAATCTGAGCCTAAGACTGTTCTGATGTTACTTGGATTTCCAGTACTCTGGAGCCTTGTTAATGACTGTGAACCTGGGTTTGGCTGAGAAGGCTTTAACACCCAAAAGAATCTGGGGTAGAGTCAGAACTTAGAAATTTACATAACACATGGGCAAAATGCAAAGTCCTCTCTCACTTGGTTCCCTTGTTTGCTATCTCCAGGTTCCTTTTCTAAACTGTTGTCAGAGAATACTAACATTATCTGAACAGCAGCCCTGCAAACAGGAGTATATTAGACGCAGGAAAACTCAAAAGAAAGGTTTTTTAAAAGGATATTGTCTTTATGAAGAATATAAAGTACATATGCAGGTACCGCATAAATGAAACAAGTAAAAGCCATTTTTAAAAAGATTCAAAGCAATGGAAGTTGGTGGCTAAATGCTGAAAGATTGTCTCAAACTTCAGTAATAAACAAAAAAAATAACCTCCAACATGCTGTTAATTTTCTTTATCTACCATCACTAGAAAATGATTGTGCACTTCCTCTAAGTGCTCTCACAAAATTCTATAAACCTGCTTAGTTTTTGGTTATGATTTCCAAAAGATCGGTATATTCTAGCATGTGAGTCAGTTAATACTTGCGAACTACTTAAATCAGTTGCTTCTCATCACAGCCTTTTTAAAAGAATATTATTTACAATTAAAATAGGACAACCTGTTTTGCCTGGGCTTTTTGATTTGTGATTGTGATGTTTGTTATTAATTGCTGTTGATATACACATTGCATTGGACTTCTTGGTATCTGAGCAGATTGAAAACATATAATTATCTTTAATCTAAGACAGGATCTGTTTATCCTTTCAAGTAAGCCAACTAATACTTGACAACAGATGACTGTGCCCTGTAAGCCTAAAAATGTGGTGTGGTGTGATTGCTCAATCGGTGATGATGAAATTGTCCACCAAATGTAACTACATATTAAGAAAACTTAATAGATCCCTGAAGAGGGCATGAGAACGTATTGAGCACTGACTACGTACATGCTGAGCAACTTTGGCACTTTGCACATGTGATCTCATTTGAGTGACTGAAGTCAGTCTCTCTAATGTCAGTGATTTCAAGCATCAGAGAATTACACTAGCATATGAAGGAATTTGGAGGTCAGCTAGCCTGACTTCTTCAAGGAAAACTAAAATAAATTTTTCTTTGTCAAGAGGCCATAAAATTAGCATCTATTTGTCAAGTGTAGGATTGGATAATTCCTCCTGGGTATGTTACAGTTGATAAGAATGTATGAGCTACTCATGTAACCTTTTCATAACTAGTATGGAATTAAAACTTCAAGGATGGACTAAATGATTCATCAATCAAAATCTTTGCCAATTTTTGCTGTAAAATGGTAAGATTAAAATTCTCTCTGGTAAAGGCAATATTTTTGAATTATTATGAGGATCTTTTGTATTTATCCCAATCCTGAGGAGTCAAAATGTTAGGATACTCTTTTGGGATTGAACTCATGGCCTTGTGCGTGCTAGGCAAGCATCTTACCACTGAGCTACAGTGCACTTTCTATCTAACTAAAATGTATCTTTTATCAGAAGCTCATGGTTTACATGACATCATAATTTTATTCTACAAATTTAAAAGCATGATACCATATAAAAGTCAAAAACAGGGGGAAATGTTATAACAACAAATAGTATAATGATTAAAACACAACAAATTTGTTTTAAAACTTAGTTGTCCTAAAGCTATCATTTGCCTTTATCATAAGAGCTCTCCATTCCTTCCAATTCAAACTAAATCTTCCAAAATTGGAAATAATGTCACCTTCTCACCCCAATATGACAGAAACATGGTGACAAACAGCAATGAGAGGGCAGAGAAGACAGGACAGAAAGAGGAGGACGTGAGTACATGAGGATCCGGATCCGGTCTGAATCTTACTAGACTGTAACTTTGGGCAAATATCCCTTGAACCTCAACAGCTTCACCTATTAAAAACTAGCAATAATAATATAGTTTTCTATGCTCTGTATTATATAGCTGTTCCTGTCATTAAAATAATTACATAGAATTAGTACCGCATAAACTTTTACTTCCTAGCCAAGTCTTTATGACATATATTTCCAAAACTGTAAATCAGAGCTTCATACTTCGCAAACTTCAGCCCTTAGGCCAAATTCACCCCATTGCCTATTTTTGTAAATAAAGTTTTATTGGAAAGAAACTTAACCATTCACTTACTGTCTGTGGCTGCAGACTAGCTGTGGGTAAAATATCATGTGTACTTCAAAGTCAAAAATTATTTATTGATCCTTTCTTGAAAAATTTGCTGATCCCTAATTTAAATGATCGAACATCATAATTTTTAAAGCCTATAAAGTTGTTATATCCTAAAACATATCATTTGCTTGCACAGAACAAATCTGTGATATACTGATAAGGACTATAGTTTATTTTAATTAAAATGATGTTTTGGCTTGATCTTAACCTCCGGCAATTCTAAGCCTCATTAAAGCTACAATAAAGTAATAACTCAGACTTTAAAACAGTAAACAAGTATCAAGTGCCTACTGTGTGCCAAATGCTGAGTGTACAATGATAAAAGTATCGCTGTCTCTCTGCTCATTCTATATAGTGCAATAGCAGTTTATAAACCAAACTGTATCACTTGCATTCAGACATAGTAAACACATACTGAAGAGCTAATATGTAGCTGCCCCTTTTGTACCTATTAACTCATTGACTCCTTCTGATAAGTCAGGGGAAAATATTACTCTCCCAATATGGCTGATAAGAAACATGGAACTCAAAAAGTTACTCTCGGTCCTGATGTGAGAAAATAGAAAGATTGACAACCTGAGCACCTCTGTGGCTCCTTGATCCCAAGAATAAAGATGAGCAACATACACAGCCTCAGTACCAGGACAGGTAGCCTCCAACAGCATCACTCCCACCACAGCTCATCCACCGCTCAGCACATACCCGACTGTCAATGAAGATGCTCCCCAGCTAAGGTCTGTGCCCTGATGGAGTCAATTCAGTATCACACAGAGGAGGGAAGAGTCACGTCCTCAGCCTGTGGAAACTGGTAAGGAGAGGTATTGAGCAAGCACTTCTGTGACTTTTAAATAATGATCATGAATCAGAATCTTTTCAAGCCATTATACCACCTGCTTATTTCCAGAACGCCATAGATCAGGGACTAGTGCCTTTTTACATAGCAGCTTAAAAGGCCTGAGCTTTATGTTTCTGTTCTTTCCTCCATAAAAAACTTATGGAGCACTTTGAGCACTGTGCTACACTGAGTTTATAATTTATAAGTAGAATCCACACAATCCAAGAATAATATGTTTTATAACCTGTCCCAATGCACCACTACCAGTGACTAAAGAGGGACAAAACAGGGCAGTTTGGAGCCAAAGGTAATTTACACTGTTCAGATGCCTGTATTTTCTAACTCCTTTCATCAGTGCTTCCATCCTAGTCAATCGTATCTGTTCAAAACAATTTCTGACACATCCTCACTAGATAATATTGTTCCTCTGGCACCTCAAACAGAACCTAACAAACAAAAACCTCTTCCCTCTTCTTTTCCCTGACTTCATCTCTCATCTCTATCTTTCTCAGTCCCCCCACCCATCCCTCTGCCCCAGTCCATTTGCTCTCTTTCTGTTTCTCATTCCCTCTCTCTTTTGTCTCATTTGGTGAAACTATTTCTGTGGAATTAATTCACCTGCAGAACACACTAGATATTAAAACATAATGTAACATTGGCCCATCTTCAAAACAAGGTTCATGATTGTTGAAGATGATAAAACTTTGAAGTATTTTCAAACATTAGAGATCAATCAGACCAATTTTCAGTCTTGAAGGAAAGTTGTACCATTGTGTTTCCTGCAGTTCTATGAGACCCATGCCAGCCTACAACTGCCTGAGGATTATCACTTAGGGAGTATGTACTGACTGTAGTTACATCTGGAGTTCAGACCTTGTTGTACCACACAAGATTTTAGAGTTGTGCATGCCTAATCTATAAACCACTTACAAGAGATTCCAAAAGAATCTAAAGGAACACATAACTTAGATATGAAAAATTAAGTTCCCATGAACCAGATTCAACCCACAGAATACTAACATAACTGAACATATCAACCCAAAAGCTATAAAAGTTTTGAATGGGGGATGATTTGCGGTGATATAGAGAGCACAAACTATAAGTAAAACCCATCATTTGAAGAAATTTAAAATATAAAAAAATAATGCTAATTTATAAGTCCATTAAAATCCATTACTTCGATCCCCGGAGGAGAAAATGGCGGCTCACTAGGGAATCAGGCGGAGAATCTCTCTGGAGAAATCATATTAGAAGCTAGAATATGACAACATGGAGAGGGCCAGACAAATGGATAATGATTCTTATTAACCAAAACAGTGCAGCTGGAGGATTTAAAGTCGTGCTGAGACTGTGAAGGCTGATAACGGGAGGCTGCAAATCCCGCACCTTTAAATCAACAAACTGACCCGTGGACCCAGCAGGAAAAGCTGTGTTGGCTTTTGGTGACTGCTGGAAACTGAGACCTGAGACCCTGAGAAGCAGCCAAGACTGCCCTGCTGCACCAGAGGAAATCGTGAAAGGCTCTGGAGCTCCAAAGCCGAAAGCTTAGCAGATTTCTGACCGTCCCGCGCTGTGCCGGGAGCACAGGAAAGGTGGGCGGCATGGACCCTGGTGAGTACTGGGGACCCTGCGGCTGCTGGGGTTAGCCAGAGAACATCTTGGAACTGGGCAGTGCCCGCCACCATGGGGACATCAATAACACAGAGTCTGGGGGCAGCCATCTTAGAGTTGGGCAGAACCTACAGCTCGGTGGCATCACTTAGTCCCCCTGTAAGGAGGGCTGGTGGAAGGCATCTTGAAATTGGGCAGAGCCTGAGTACGTGTTGGCTTCAGCGTCATACAGAGAACTAGTGGGAGACATCTTGGATTTGGGCAGATCTGCTGTTCTGGTGCTCCTGTCACAAAAAGGTCTGGAAGAGAACAGCTGGGATTTGGGCAGAACCCTGTGCCATAGTGACATTAGTCAGCTGCTTCTGGTACAAAGAGAACCGGCAGGAGCTACTGGGGCTAAACCAATCCTCTGCTTGGGGCCCAGTAAGCAGATACAAAATAGTCACAACTCAGTGACATCCAGAGAGTACAGCCTAATTTATGGATTGACTGGCACAGAGGCTGGAGACTAGCCTGTACCGCCCCTGCATCCCAGCCTACCCCAGATAACTGTAAATTGGGGAGGACAGCAAAAACTCAAGTCAGCATGCTTCTGAAAGGCCCTAAGCAATTCGGAGAGGACCAGAGAACCCCAGGACAGTCTGAAAGAAACCAGAAACATGACAAGAGATAAAAATTTTTAAAAAAATCTCCAGCTGCCCAACATAAGCCCAGGAGAAGTAAACATCGAAGAGAACAAGCACAGTAACCATCCATTGCTCAACACAGCATCAGCCAAAATTAAAAAGTATCTTCATGATCTCATAGAAGAATTTAAAGCTGTACTCCTGATTCAAGTGAGGCAAGATATAAAGAGATTAATTAAAGAAATGACAAGCCCAACCCAAGAGAACACAGATGGAAGAACTGAGGAAATCAGAAAAGAAAGAGAAACTTCTGAAGAAGAATTTAAACATAACTTAGAATGCATGAAACAGATCCAAAGAGAATACCAGGAAACTAAAAACTCCATTGAAAACTGGCAAAATGCCTTGACAGAAACTAAAGACAGCCTTCTGAAACTTGAAGAGAGATTTATGGCATATGATCGTGAAAGAAACAGCCTCTTAAAAATAACAAGGAACCAGAAAGAAGCAATTCAAAAACTAGAAGATGACAAAAAGATAAATAACTTAAGAATAAAAAATGTGAGTGAGGAAGCAAGAGCAACCAAAAATGAAATACAAAGAATACTCACAGATATATTAAAGCAAAATTTCCCATGTATAGCAAAAAGAAATGATATCCAGATAAAAGAGGCATACAAAACACCAGCTACCTACAACCAAAACAGATCTACGCCTAGACATATAATAATCAGGATTCCAGAAATCCACCAAAAGAACAGAATATTAAAAGCAGCCAGAGAAAAGATGCAGATTACCTACAATAGGAAAACTATCAAAATAACAACAGACATATCAACACAAACTCTTAAGTCAAGAAGAGAGTGGGGAGAAATATTCCAAGTCCTGAAAGAAAATAATATGCAACTGAAGCTCATATGCCCGTCAAAACTCTCTCTCAAAATTAATGGAGAAATAAGATACTTTCAAGACAAGGAGGAACTGTGGGAGTTCATAGCCACCAATCCAACCCTACAGAGAGTGCTGAAGGACATTACAGAGAAAGAGAGGAAGAGATACCAGGATTCCAGCAACAGTGGCAGAGAGGCCTCAGTGAATGGGGCAGACAGTGGAATGAGGGAATAAGGTGGACAAATTATAGCAGAAAAGTGGAGTAGCAGACATGAGGCAGAGACGGTAAGCTATAGTCTTTAGTATAGACAGCTCTGAAACTCTATAAAAAAAAAGAAAAAGGCAGAGGTCATTGTTAATGGTGTATAAGGATTTAAAAGACATAGTAGTCTTATTGACATATTTAGTTTGAATTTAATTTATACTGGTCTGTCCACTCATGTCAGATTTGAGGGCATAGACTTCTTGACCCAAATATAGCAGGTTATACCATGGTAACTATCCTTACTTTCCTATTAACTTAAACTGAAATCCTGCAATACTTACATTGTCTTACAATGACTGATCTTAATTGAATCTGAATCATAAGACTATGGGTTGGCCTTAGCTGATTTTATTTGAAATTGGTATGCTTGTTAGTATCAACCCTAAAAGTAGAGGCAACTACTCTGAGGATGACAAGATGTAAAGGATATCCATACTGGTATTAATTAGTAACAGCTCTCAAATCCTACAATGCTGTCAAACTTAAGTTTTTATAAAAATAGGTGATACTATATTTAACTATAATAAGCCAGTGTTGTGGTCAAATCTATTGAAAATAACAAGAGAAAACATAGTAACTACGGAAGATCATCTATATTGTGGTCTTATATGTCTTATCCATTGCATGTTTTTCTAGGAAATTGTTTTGCTGTCTTGCTATGACTTGGTATTCCCTATAATACAGAGAGGATAGATATATACGTAGAAATTCACACATGGGTTTTTTTTTAATTATTTACGGGAACAGATTATATAATGCAAGATGTAATGAACAGATATTCTGAGGAAGAGACGCTAAGAAACCCGAGGCTAATTTTGTAGCATTATGATAGAAATTCTAGCAATACTATTGTTCACTGATTAGAATGACATTGGACTAGCTTCTTGAGTTCAATTTCAGCATATGTAGAGATGGGGACAGCTATCACAAAGAGAATGAGAGATGCGATGGTAGTTACTATTGTCTTCCCTAATTTGGAACTTGAGGACTTAAAAAGCCTCCAATGATTTGATTAGTTCTATAATATGCAATAAGTATATAAAGTGGGTGAAGATGGGGACAACTATTTGTAAGAAACTAGAGACAGTTAGATAGACAATGAAGATCTCCAGTGGGCTTGCTGCGAAATCTGTATTTCTTTAAATTGTTTTTTTAACTGCTTTGTTCTGTTTTGATATGTTTAATCTTACCCTCTTTGAGATGTAAAACAAATGTGTAGGACTGATAACCATATTACTGAGCTTTTGTTCGATCATAGAGCAGAACGGTTTGTAGTGTCACTTTATGAATGTCATTCTAAATACTTTAACTCTATAACATGAACAACTATTTCTAAGATGACAATGTGTAACTTATCAACCAGCAATTTCTTACCATTTGTTTTTCTGTAAGTTTGTATTATTTCTACCCTTTTTTTAATCTCCATGTATTCTTTTGTTTCCTTTTCTTTAAATAAAAAAAATAAAATAAAATAAAATCCATTATTTCCTTCTTTCTATGTGCCTTTTTCATATTGAGCTCATACTATGTTTATAATCTTATGCTTTTTGTTATTTAATATTTGTATTTAAGTATTTATCC